CACTGATGTTTCTCTCTCTCTCCCTCTCCCTTCCTCTCTGAAATCAATAAAAGTATATTTTAAAAATAAAATAGAGAGAATAGGATACTGAACTCCCACATACTTATCCAGTTTCAACAGCTCATGGTCAGTCTTGTTTCATTTACACCCCCACCCATTCCTTGGTCCCACCCCAGCAAATTTCAGACACATCACTTCATCTATAAATTTCAGTGTTTGGCTAAAAGTTAAGGACATTAAAAATATAACCACAATATTATCACACACAGACCCACAATTCCATAATATCATTAAATGTGCAGTGTTCAAATTTTCTGATCTTAAATGATTTTGATAGTTTATTGAAATAGGGATCCAAATAAGGTCCATAGTTGCAATTGGTTAATGTGCTTAAGTCTCTTTTAGTCTATAGGTTCTCTTTACTCTTCCTCCTCCTCTCCTTCGCACATCTCCCTCTCTCCCCCTCTCAGCTTGGTCACTTGTTCATATCTATATTTCTTGGCCATTAGAGCTAAAGTCTTCAACAACTTTTTATCCACGGTACTGATTATTTTGCAACTACTGCACTGTCAAGATATATTTGGTAAATACACAATATAATACAATACTATTTGAAATTGTTCAACCTGATAATAAAACCAAAAGATTACAATGAGAATGAATTTCATCTATTTAAACTTAGACTTTTAATGAAAGGTAGGGAAAATTAAAATGATGCACCAATATGCTAGCATGTCAATAAATCTTTTATTTTCTAAGATATAACTGATAGTCTTTACCTGGGAGAAAGTTAAGGACTCATATCTATAATATACCCATGATACCAATTCTAATAAAGCATGGAATAACTTCACATCAGTTTTTTGTTGTGTGCATAGGCAAGAAGGGAAGGCAGCTTTCTTTACAATGAAGTGACAGAAGATAGTTGGCTTAAGATTTAAGTGTGAGGAAGTTTTCAGAAACTACTGAAAGTGGTGAGACCATAGCTGGCAGCGCAACTGCATGTGTACTATCTGATTTGCAACCTTTATTTTGCACATAATCAAATAGTATGATTATTTGCCAACCAAAACTAATGCCTCTCTCTCCTTAAGGGCAATGAAGAGCTAAATGCCTAATTATATTCACGGTCCTAGAAGGAACAGCATTCTAATAATGACAATTTCATGGAAAATCTAGTAAACCCAGAGTCTACCTCACACTTCAAAAGCAAGAACAGGATCACGTTGTCAGAAAAATCGGTCATGTTTACTATCAGTGCTGTCAGTGTTCCCCTGAAAGCCTTGGGCAACCCTCCTGTATCACTAGAACTGTGAATCCTGTTTGCTGTGTGCCCTCTGTCACTCATCTATGTTGTCCTCCTGGGGACCCATCCCCACTTATACCCCTGATTCATAAGTGTCTGTGAGCCTCACCACCAACCTAGCTGAGACACAGCTAAGCACTGATCCTAGGACAGCCTACCTGTAGGCTAATGAGACTGATTCTGCACAAAAATCAGCTTGGGCAATCAAATTCTGTATAGAAAAATCTAAACTATGAGGGAGTAACAACAAAGCACATGGAGAAACCAGTCTGTAGTGTAGTGAGGGGAGTGAGGTAGCCTGTGGAGAAAAGCAGGGAGGTGATGAGAGCTGATCTCTGAAGCAGCTGCCGGCTTCCTGTTCCCAAACCCTACGTAGCCTTGCAGTGAATGTCCTTTACCTTGAGGTAACCTGAGCTTCCAGTCCTTGTAGCCAAAACTGAAATGCGTGTCAGTGTTTTTAATATTTGAAGGAAACAATTCAAAATATATCAAAAGGTTACGAGGCATTCCAAATCAAATCAGTGGTGTTTGTTTGGTATCGTCACAATGTCGTCTCCACGTGTGAAAATTGTTTATATTAACCCAAGGAAGGCAGGGAGCCTGGAGGTAGGGGGTAGATCTTGCTAGGGAAGGGATTCTAGCCTGCATCTTAGCAGCACCTAGAGAGCTTACAAATTCTTGCCTGGCACCCCCCCCCCTCCCCGGCAAGTTTCGGATGATAGTTTTAGAATACCCCCAAAAGATACTAAGGTGTAGTCAGGGTTGAGAACCACTAATCTAGACTCTATGGTACATCAGGCTGGACTCAGAAGTGAGCACTAAATGTTTTCTTTCTAAATCTCAGTTCCAGTTAGTTGAGTATCTTAAGGGTATTTTCCTCCTAAAGTGAATCCTCATCTGAGAACGTGTGTATTTAGGGGAAAACAATGTGCTGGTCAGTGAATGGCTTGAGGGCGTTGTATTGCACTCTCGGCCTTCATTATTTTAGGGATAACTGCCCACCTGTGACCTATTCAGACGCGGTGTTCGAAAGCACCCATTCCGCTCCATCTTGTTTTCTAGTCATTTAAATATGTTCATAAGCTACAGGTAGATGATTATTACCTTCATTCACTTTGTTGAAGGCATACACGATTTATGCTCAGTCTTACAGCATTTTTACCAATGAACAGTGAAGCGTCACGTACCTTTTACTTTTTAAGATGAGGCACAAAAGCTACTTCTGTTCGTGTTCTCTACCTTACTGTAGCTGAGAAAAGCATGGCTTCCTTGGAACAGCCCCGAGGCAGTCAGGAGACAGGAC